TTAACGCTCTTTCTTTTCCTTCTTCCAGTAGTGCTCCTAGAGAAGGCGCTGACACTGCCAAGTGATCCACCTTAGCCATGGGATGGCACTTGTCTTCACCAGGCTCCTGCTTAGCAAGTGCCAGCCGCCCTGCTCAGAAGGGACCCGTGACCAGGCCTGCCTCAGCAGTGCCCAATGCAGGTTAGGATTTACATGCTCAGACAACTGCTACACCTCACCCGAATCACCCCACACCACCATGGAGCGTGCTTTCCCAGTGTCCTTTCCATCAGCTCACTTGGAGCACAGTAAATCAAGACATAGTCCCGCTTGTACATAAATGATTCGTATTTCAAAAGCACCTAGGCCGTGTGTAGAAAGCTGAAAGAAGAGGTATGAGGTGTCCTGCTTGCTCTAGAGCTGGAAAAATTGCGTTTATGGAGCAAAGCTGTCCAAAGGACAATGTAGTCAGCAGCCATCACGTGTGAATTTTCTCATTGGGAGTTAAAATTATTGGTAGATGATGTTGTTGTCTTTCTATGCCTGGAAAACATAATCGTTGGTGGGTGATGAGCATCCAGAGTGAGCCTGGCTTGCCTTTGGAAGCCTGGACAGAAAATGTACGGTGGCAGAGAGATGGACAATGCTTTCTGCATCACAACCTGACATTTTTATTTATACTGGGTAAGGAACATGCTTTAAATAACTGACATGGAAATGCATCTGCTGCTCTATTACATTGTGTCGGGGCTTTTCTTTTATAATATTGTATCAGCAACAGCCTGGACACTGTTTTATTATCACTAGCACTGGCAAATACAGATCTCCAACCCAGACATTTGGATTTGTAAATGGATTAAAGCATCTGTTAAATAAGTTGCAACGTGTTGCATGGCTTGGTGCAGCACCACAAGAAGCAGTGAGATTTAAAAAGGCAACATGTTTCAGCTCAACTTAAGTGCACTGAAGGCAGGATATTCTTTATAAGTGGCCAGATTTCTGTTCTTTCTCCCTGTCTGTTGACAACACTACAGTTGACATTTATTACCCTGCCTTAATGAGAATCGTTCATTCATATTTTCAGAAAGACAATCTCCCAAGTGGAATCCCCATCAACAAGGAGTATATTTGGACCTTGTATTGCCACCTCTTGTCAAAGGATGTGAAAATGCTGTTGTCCAGGAGATCTCACCCTTGGGAAATTGAAGAGGAGGCAGGAGATGGTGCAATGGCTTTGCTTCACAGGTCAGTTAAAGCATTTTGGAGTCTGACTTCCTTGTCCGTACAAAGGTGGTTTCTGAAGATGAAAATCCATGTTTCCCTGTGCAGGCTCTGGTCCAGTGAGGCATCACATGCGCAGGGCAGCTGCCTCCTTCCTTCTGGTTTGATGTACAAGTGAAATATGCATTTTGAACTGGTTCAGTTTGTAGCAGGCTGTGAAGTTAGCATTAGCAGACTAGGTGAGCTTGTCTAGTGTTTTGTTGGTTGATTTAAGTGAGACGTGAAACTGGCAGCAAGGAAAAAGTGTGGCATGTATGAGGCTGGGGGAAAAAACCCAGACCCGCAGAAGAGGGGTGGAAACAAGTTCCTCTCAGTGTCACCGGAGCCCCAGCCCCTAGACGCGTTTAGTTGTGTCTTTTGGGTTTTTTTGGCTTCCGTGGCCCATCCTCTAGGTCCCTTGCGGACCCCGCGGCGGTCTGATGCCCCGGCCCAGGGCACTGCAACTCCCCGGAGCGGATCC